AGAAAACACAATAAGATGAATGTTTGGATATAAAAGACTAAAAAGAACTATGCTTAAATTGGTTGACTTTGTTCTTGAATCACTTCTGTTGTCTGAATTCTGAAGCATAAAATCAGTGCCACGAAAGATTAATTTGAGAAAAATTTAACGCACCATTTCTTTGAATCTGCCTGCAGTTATCCACTCTGGTTTGGTTATTTCTTATTTACTATCTTCTGCTCTTTGGACTTTTTACTGTGTATGCATATATGTAGGGTTAGAGCCTGTTTGGTTGGTATGCTAACCATGCCATACCACAAGTTAGGCATGGCCAAATTAGTTGCCTGTTTGGTTACTAAGGCACACTTGTGGCAAGATTCCTTTGTGAATCCTTATACTTTACCTTGTTTTCTTGCATGTCTTGTGTTGTTTCTCTTGGAATAAATGTTAGTTGCTCAAATGATATAACCTTGTCCTCTATGCCTTGTGGTTTCAGAGCAACAAGAACAGTTACGGGTTCTTCATGAGAAGTTCAAGGAGGAGGTTAATCAGCAGTTGCTTGGTTGCAAGAACTCTCTCGAGGAATTTGAAGCCTATCATGCAGAACTTAAGGGAGTAGCTGAGAAGCAAAGTAAGTTTTAACTTAAGACATTACACTTGCGGAATGCAAATGAAATACTTACTCGCCACACTATTTATTACAAACTGATGCTCTGCATGGACTCCCAAAAATGTGGAATCATGTTAACCTTTGTCAAAATAGAGCCTTATGAAGTATCACCATTGGAGCATTTTGATTATAGATTGCAAGCTTTATGTCATATAACTGATCCAGGCACATAAGATTCCAACATTGTTTCATGCATGAAGTTTGTTGCTGAATAATGTGGTTAAATTGCATGTTCTTTTTAATTGAAAAGAATGATTGCCCAATCTCCATTGGCACACGATTAGAAGAAAGTCATCAGTGAAGTTTTTTTTAAATTTAAGTAATTATAGTTTTAGCTCACTGTTATCATTGTTAAGAGGCAAATGGAATGAATCATCATACAGCAGCCACTAGAAGAAATATGTTTAAATGCCTTGTTTCTGTCTAACCGTTTGGCCTTACCTGAATTGCCACTGAACCATGGTTTTGTTGTATGATTGCATCAACAGAAGCATCACACAAGAAGCTCCTCCAACAAGCCGAGAGCAGAGTTGGTTCTCAGCTCAACGACGCCGAAATCAAAATCGCGAAGGTTCAGAAGGTAAACAAACACCATTCCCCCAGGGAGGGATGCCGTATCGATCAGCTGCTAACCTTTTCCCATGAAAATGGTTTCGCAGAGAGCCCGGAAGAAGATGAATGGCCTGAAACACGTGCTCAAGGAGCTCATCACCGACACCGCAGATTGATCAATCTCACCTGCTCTACAGAAGTCGATAGATAAGGCGAAACCTGTAGGGTATATATAGAAGGATGATGCCGGTACGCATATGGGGTTCCTTTGCTTAAAGTTACACTTTGAAGAACTATGCCAAGTAGTAGGAGGCTATCCGTAGTTCCATAGCATACCGTTTCACCATCTCTACCGTTTTGCGTCGGTGAATCGCTAACTTAACCATGCCATGCCGTGTTTCTTTCAATGAATTGTGTCCTGGTATCGTTTCTTGTTTCCAGACCGAGTAATGTAACGATCAAGTACAAAGTCGCAAATGCTTAAGTTAGATTTGCTGCCATGTGAATGCGATGGTTTAAATCAAGTGTACTCATCTGGTGACATATTTGATGTCTTTCTGCCAATGTCGCTTTTCTTCGAGCTTCTGTGCATGGGATTTGGATAAGAGGAAATTAGAGGCAAATGTATGTGTCTGCCCCTACTCAAAGAAGGTTAGACATCTTTGATCCTTCTAGCCGTTATTATTCCTTTTTTTTGGGAATAGTTTGGATGCAATGAGATATATATACCTGCGGGAGATAGTTTATCTATCGGCCTATGTCTCCCCAACGACAAGTTTTGTGATTTCTGTTTCCTGCAAGCTATAAACCAGAATATGCAACACGCATAGCGTGTACCGTGCCTGCTTACCAATATATATATGTTTTTTTCTGAGTTTCTTTTTGCGGGATAAACCTCCATTAATTCATCTGTCATGGATGTACGGAGAACACCAGAAGTAACAATTATTACAACCAGGTCGGTGGACTACCTAACAATGACTATATGCATTGAAAGGAGCCGAAGGCGCCCTGCCGTCGTTATCTCTCCCTCGCTGGAGCTGGCCAAAATCGGGGACTTGATCTCTCGCATGGCATTGTTTAAGTTAAATATTGCTGAAGAACACCTAATGATGTGGACCAACCTCCTTGTGTTAGGAAGTGCTCAATGTGTCCAAGAACTCCGTCTAGTCCAACTAGGGTGAATTGATGGTACTACCTTTTCATCGCCAGTTCGTTCGCTTGCACAGTTGTGGGTTATCACGGTTCAAGGTTGACCGGTCAACGTTACCCGATCAACCGTAGACCTTTTGAAGGAAAAACATCATAGATCAGTTTTTCTCAAATTTGGTATAAAGTTTTCGTATTTTACGAAAAAAGTCTTTGAATTCAAAAAAAATCCAAGGATTCTCAAACAAAATCACAAACTTCAAAAAAAGTTCATCGAATTTGAAAAAACTTCACAAATTTGAAAAAAAATCAACTTTGAAAAAAGCATCGATTTTAAAAGAAAAATTCACAAATTTGGTAAAACTTCATCAATTTTTAAAAAAGTTTATCAATTTTTTTAATTTTGTTTTTGCATTTTTTAAAAAAAATCGTTCATTGATTTAAAAAAAATCACAAATTTGGAAAAAATGTTTGTGGATATGGAAAAAGCTCATCAATTTTGAAAAGAGTTTACTAAAGTTCACACATTTGTCTCAAAAAAAAAACTAAAGTTCACACATTTATGAAAACAAAAATAAAAATAGAAACAAGAACAAGAAAAAAAAATTGAATTCCGCGAACTGAAAAAGGAATAAAGAAAAAAGAAGTACGTGTGCACATGCGTTGAGATGTCCTAGTGGTTGATGCGCTTCTCTCCGAACAAACAGATCTCGGGTTTGATGTTGTCAGCCGCGCG